TCTCCAACACACTCTGGGGGACACATTTAAGTCGCAGCTGGTGGGAAAATTGCAGGAACCTGGAAAGCTTACGCACTGAGAGGCCATACCTACATCACCAAGTCATTTTGGCATCAGTACAAGATATAAAACAATCCATATGGAAACATAAAGCAAAAATAAGAGATATTACAACAAAATCTCACACCAAGGGGTCCCTTTCCCTTCCCTTTAAACCATCAGTTCTCAACCTGCTGATACCACATCCCCAGCTCCACTCACCTCTCGGTTCCTGATGGGCAGCTCCTGCTGAGGGCTGATGGCTTAGCAACAACCCTGTCCCTGAACAATGTCAAGGGCAGGTGAAAAGAGGGGTTGCAACTTCCAAGCTCAAGGGCTGTGCTGAGGAACAAGCTACCGAGCCCTGTGAGGTACTAGCCGCATGCCAGTGAGGTGAGCCCAGGGGCCACCTTGGGTCGGGAGAGACATTTCCTCTGGACACCCTGTCCTGGAATGGCCAGAGGGCATCAAGGGATTTACCAAACTAAATGTGCCTAGGAGAAAAATTTCTGGCTTCCTTTGTTTCCTGAATGAATTTCTAGGCTTCTTTTCCGACACACAAACACACGCACATGCCAAGCAGTGTCTTAACCAAGGCCCATCCATCAGAGCTGGGCATGTTCTTGAGGCCTAATGGACTGTACATAAGTTTCCTACTGAAAATGAGAGCAAAAAATGTAGAAGAGGTTTTTTTTTTTTTTTTGCAATGAATAATTAAACCAAAGAATGCCTTTTCAAGGGATGGTAGGCAACTGGAGGAAGGGCTAACAGTCCTGTTTCCCAGACATTATGAGAGATGGATGCAGAGATGTTGGCTCCGAGCTGCTCCAGGTGGGGAACCAAGACCCCAACCATTGCTCTGGGTGGCTATTTTCATTGCTGTGACCAAAAGACCTGAGGAGAACAGTGCAGAGGAGGAAGAGAGCTCATTTTGGGTCATAGCCGCAGAGGGTCAGTCCATGCTGGGCAGACTTCATAGCAATGGGCCCAAGATGCAGCCCGGGGAAGAGCATCCTGGGGGAAAGGCATGGTGGAGGAAAGCAGCTCAGGACCCGCAGCCAGGAAGCACGAGGAGCTCTGCTCATCAGGGATGAAATATGAACCCCTAAGACGTGCCCCCAGTGACCCACTCCTCCAGCCACCCGCTACCTGCCTGCTGTTACTGCCCAGGTAATCCCTACCCGGGGATTAATGCACTGATCAGGTCGGGGCCCTCATAGCCCAATCATTTCACCTCTAAACGCCCTTGCAGCGTCCCACACATGAGCTTTCAGGGAACACCTCACGTCTAAACCAGAACTTTCTGTTCTGTGGTCCCTAATGTGAGCTCTGGGACCCCGACAAATGGGTTCCACTCTGTGTGGGGCATTCGCCTACCTCTTCTTCCCTCGCCTGTGGTGGGCTTGGAGCTCTCCTTTGTCCCTGCCTCTGCCCATGCCGAGTCCCCTCCTCAGCCTCTGTGTTCCTCCTTCCTGCTCCAGTTGCATTCTGTCCCTTGCGAGCGTCACATGCTGTGCACCTCCCTTCCCCTCTGACCATGAAGCACTGGATGATGGCTATGATTCCTGGTCTCATTGTGACCTTAAGGACTCCATGAGTGACGTCTCATTTGTCTGAAGGTCGATGCCATTTTGTCACTTCCTGGTTAAATTCAATTGTGAAAACTGGACTGAGGCGTCCTGGTGTCCTGGCCTTTCAAGGACGGCCACCCCTTCATTCTTCCACTGACTTGGAAAAGATTCCTCAGTTGCTGAGTCTCTTCCTGCTTTGTGCTCAGAGCTGGGTGTGAATTTGTTTGCCAGGGCTGCTCTGGCAGAGGCCCACAGATAGCAGACTGGGTGGCTTAGGGGACAGACCTTGGCGGACTCAGAGCTCCGGGAGCCTGAGGCTGAGATCTAGGAGCTGCTGACTTGGTTCCTTCTGAGGGCTCTGGGGAGGGAAGGACCCGCTCCAGGTTTCCCCTTGAGTTGTAGGAGGTCGTCTTCCCACCGTGAGGATGTCAGCGTCTCCGAGGGGCATGCGCACTCCGGAAGGCACCATCCAGGAAGTCCCCAGTGCTGTCAGCACCAAGGTCAGCAGAGAACTGATTACACTGACCCTCCCCTGCCCTCGAGCTCCTTCATCCCTGCTTGAGACGAATGGTGTCGTCCTCCCACCCACATACCAACTTGCATGCTTATTGAGAAATGCTTCTTCAGGGATTTCACTGTTGTGTAAACATCACAGAGTGAGCTTAAGCCTAGATGGTTCAGCCTCCTTCACACCTAGGTCACTGTGGCATAGCGGCTGTTGCACAAGCAGGCTGTCATTGACCAGAATGTCATTGACCTTCTGATCCCTGGTACCTTATTTGGTGTCATGATCTTCTTAGATATAATCAAAGTAAGATGCGGTCATTAGGGCTAATCCAATATGATTGGTGTACAGATTTTGGATTTGCCAGTCTCTGTGATCACATGAGTATATTTCTTCAAATAAATCTTTCTCTGTGCGTACATATCCCGCTTTTTCTGCAAAACCCCTATACACCCAGGAAGACTTAGTCCTTCCCTTGAGTCCCACACCCCTCTGCACGATGGCACTGGGGGCTGGTGGAAACCATCCGTGGGCTTGTCATAGGTCCTCAAGGGTGGGGTCATGCTGTGTCTGTCTTCAAGCCGCAGCGCCTGAGATGGTGTTTGGAATCTCGTGGACACATACTAAATCCTTGCCCAGCGGATAGTTGACCTTCAGCAGCAGGAGTGGGTTCTGCTCCAGGAACACCCATGCTGCCATCACTGTCCTCCTCTGTGACCCAGGACAGAAGAGGAGGCTCCAACGTCACTGTCAGGGCCAAGACCTGAGATGGTGCAGGAAGAGGGACACGGGGAGGAGCACCGAGCTGGTGGGTGGGGAGCCCTTCCAGCAGGTGGAACCGAGGGGTTCCACGTGTTCATCTTCATGAGGCCAGGCCCAGGGTGGGACAGCCACTCCTGTACTTACGGACCATTCCTGCTATGCTGTGTCCTAGCAGAGAACCAAACAGACCCCGTTCCTGGCTTAAGGCTGGTAGAGCGGTGTATGTTGATAAATAAGCATACCAACCCATAGGTACTGGTGAATTGCAGAAGACGAAGGAGAGGAGCTGTAAGAATGAATGCAGGGAGGGTTGATTTAGAGCCATCGGTTGCTCTGAGGAGGTGGCAGTTAAGAAAAGACCGTGTGTTAGCTTTTCATGACTGTGACAAAATGCTTGACTAAAACCAACTTAAAAAAGGAAAGATTTATTTTGGTTCAGGCCTCAGAGGTTTCAGTCCTGCCAGCTGGCTCCATTGCCTTGGGCCTCAGGTGCAGCAGAACATCATGCCAGGGGCCTGTGGTGGGCGAGGCTGCTCATTTCATGGTGGCCAGGAAGCAGAGAGGGAGAGAAAGGGGTGGGGACAAGACATAGTCCCCCAGGGCACACTGTGAAGGACTGGCTCCCTTCAACTAGGCCCCACCTCCTTCAGCTCCCGCCACTTCCTCCAGCCCCTGCCACCCCAGAAGTCCATTCATCTGTGGATCCATCCATAGATTCACCCACTGAGGAAGGGGAACCCTCAGGATCCAGTCGCTTCCCCAGGTCCCCACCTCTGTGTATTGCTGCACCCCGGACCAAGCCTTCAACACAGGAACCTTTGGGGCACCTTCCAGACCAAACCACAGCTGATGGAAGGGACCATGATGGAGAGGGCATTGCCAGAGAGCTAGCAGGTCATCCCTGAGCCTAAGACTCCACCCAGAGCTTCCAGGCTAAGGCACCCCCGGTCCTTGGGTCTCTACCTCCCCACAACATCCAAGACCCTGGACATGTCCTCAGCCTGCCCAGAGACTCCTGACCAAGGGGAGATGCCTGTTGGAGGGATCCTTGCAAACTGAGTTTGACCACAGTGTGATGCTTTTCATCACAGTGAGTGGACTCTCGGGCCAACAAGAGGCAACACGGGCCCATCTTTTCCTGGATGTTCTATTCCTCATTCCTCCAGTCTTGTTTCCAGATCTCTGGCTGCTGGAGTCAAACTCCAGTCTTTGGAGGGGTCTTGGTCTCCTCTGTGTCTTTTTCTTCTGTTAGAGGTGAGGAAGGGTGGGAGCCACTTGGATAGGAGAAGGGGTGTGTGTGGAGGGGACTCCTGTGTCCCAGGCCTTCTGTGTCAGCCCCTGGCAGCTCCACTTCCCCTTAGATCTTCAGAGAAGAGAGGCGGTGGCCCAAGAGGAGATTCACTCCCAGCCTCCCCAGGGCTTAACCCAGCCTCCCCACAGCACCCGCTGAAGTTTCTGGCAGATCTTGAAACAAAAGGACTAAATGAAGAGTCAGGAAGGAGGAGGGGGCCAGTAGAGCCCCGAGGAAAAGAACTTCAAGAAGAGGGGTGCACGCACATTATTAATGGTTCTCTCTGGGCCTCGTGGCCTCTGGCTTGTTTTGTTTGGATGCTGCGAGATGAGCTGCAAACTCCTTTGCCACAGAGAGGAAAGCCTCCCCAGGGAGGTGCAGGCGCTGCTCCTGGACCTCCCCTGGCGAACCTGGGGCACATCACCTTGGCGAAGACAGGATACAAGAGAACCAGGTGGCTTTCCCTGCTGCTTCCTCCCCCCCCCCCCACCTCTACCATGACCTCCCTCCAGGAGAAGAAAGCTGGGCACTTGTGACAGCAGCTCAGACCCATTCAGAGTCCTGCAGCAGAGGAGAGAGACTTCGGTGTCACCCCCTTCTGCCCACATGGAAGGGACTTCTCAGAGCTGCGAGGTGCCAAAAGGCGAGGAGGGGAAGGGCCTCGGGGTGCTGGTGGGTGTGATAGGCCGCTGAGTTGGCTAACTGGTGTTTACCTGGAGGGGAAATGCTGCTGAACCGGTTCTTTTTGCCCTTGGTGCAGTCTGCCAACCACCCAAACAGGGAGTCTTGCAAAAAGGAATGTTTACTCATGAGGCACCAATTTCCTGGAGATGGGAGGCAACCTCAAATCCGCCTCCCTGGGGACAAACAGGGACTTAGAGAGGCTGCCTTCACTGCCAGCCATGACTCTTCACTGGGGCCTGCGGCTGCCAGGTGGGTAAGGAACAGGGAGAGAAGCCTGGCCTCTCCTCGGGGGTCTGTCTCCTCTTCTACCTCAAACCTAGGGTCAGGCTCCTTCTGAGCTTGACACGTAGGCTTGCTAATGCGAAATTCATCAACCCTGGATTTACCTAACCTGTCTTGTCCTCTTTTAAGATGAGGACACCGAGGTAGAGTAATTAAGATTTGCAGGGACATTGACCTGTCAGCTTTTACAATATCCTGCCCCAGAGTCCTGGAGGGGTACCTAGAAGTCTAGTCATTGCCCTGCACCTTCTAGGGACTGCACAGCTGAGTTATGGGCCTTCTAAGGTCATGGTCTGATGGACAGACATCCTGAGCAGCCAAGGAAGATCGCCCCTGCAGTGGTGGGGACCTCTCTGGTCCCTAGAACTGCAGAACCAGAACTGAGATGATGATCAACCAGACACAGTTTGACCAAGAAACTGCTTTATTGTGTAGACCTCCTGATACGGCCCCAGTTCTTCCTCTAGTTGAACCCAAAGCTCAATACCCTGAAGACAGGATGGAGACTCTTGATCTCGCTGGCTTCCCAGTTTGGCCATCTTGATTAAAGTTCCTCTCCTGCTTTTCGCCCTTTCTTTTTTCCCTTTTGGTTTCTGGGGTGAGTGTCCAGAGCTGGTTTGTTGGGACCCCCAGAGTTGGGGATCTGGCCTTGAACCCAGTGAGAGGGATAGAGTTTAGAGGTCTTTGGGGTTAAGGAGGCTGGGTGGTCTAAGGCATGAGGAAAGTGATTGGAGTAATGAATAGGGGAGTCTCTGGTGGTCCGACATGTGTAGTCAAATGGCCTTAGCTGTTCCCAGGACACATGTTCAGCCAATGACATCTTTAGCATTATTTGTGTGGAGCTTTTGACTATCCCCATGGACGTGTCAGTGGCTTCAGCTGGTTTGAGCTGGACAAGGCTTCCTCCAAACTGCCGAGAAACAGCGTTCACAATTGTGACCGTAGTGACCGGAGCTGTTGTCGGCCGTAAGCTAGTGAGGGGTTTGCTCATCATTTAGCTAAACAACATCTCAACTCAGCAATAAGAGAATTAACCAGAACAAGGGAAGATGAGATCCTGTTCAAGTTTTCTCTTGTTGTCAGAAACAAGTGTCTCAGGTTGTCTGTGAGAGGAGAGATCTCTGGAAAAGGGTTCTAAGGAGACGGGTGGGGGGCTTGGCTCAGGACCAGAGGGGTCCTCACTTGATGGAAAGGAACTTCAGCCCATGTCAGGAGAGGCACAGGTAGAGACTTAGTTGGAAAAGCAAGGCACACACCTTCAGGGGAGAGCATGCCCTCTGAAGAGTGAGACATGCTTTTGGGATTCTCTTAAAGAAACTTGGTGAAGGGTGGTCATGGGAAGGTGTGTGAGGTGACATCAGTCTGTCATTCTCAGGATCCTTAGGCTGATGAGGTCCCCATTATCTGATCCAGTAGATCACCTTGGAAAGTCCTCTGATTTCTAGATTCCTTAAAATACCATATCTCTCTTCACTTCATCTATTTATTGGTGGATTAACTAATCGTGCACAAAGCAATTTTTACAATTGGGTAATTTAAAGTGACTTTAAGATTTACAGATTTCCCAGAAATTTGGGATAACAGGCCTGGGAGAGAGACCGACTTGGGGAGTGACAGGCCTGGAAATATACACAGAACTTCAGAGTAACATTGTAAAATTCCTTGTCCTTCCTTTATGTCTCCTTTCTACCTATTTTAAAAAATTTCTTCCATCCTACCTCAGCATCTTTAGGACAAGAGATAGCTTTGCATTTGGAGCAAGGTGTCAGGGAGTTAGGTTCTTAGCCTCTCACAGGATCTGGGACACAGAAATACTGTCTCCTTAGATGGTTCCCAGGCTCTTGAGGAGGCACCTTTGCATTGTAGGAGGTTGACACCTTAGAGGGATGGAGAAAGAATCTATAATTTCAAATTTTCTAAAGCAAATGCTCTGAGGAAAGGTAGGCCAGGGCCTGCAGTCTGAATCTGGCTGGAGCAGATGGCGTCTGTTGGCGCTGGTTCTCAGCTTTGCATTGCTAGGACCAGAAGACCCTATGAGAACAACACAGGGGAGGAAAAGGTCATCAGGGGCACACAGTTTCAGAGATCTCAGTGCATAAATAGTTGAGCCCATAGCTGTGGACCCAAAGTGAGGTAGAACATCATGGTGGAGGTTGAGGCAGAGGAGAGCAGTTCAGGATAGGGCAATCAGGAAGCAGAGAGCTCCGCTCACCACCGACAAAATATAAACCCCCAAGGGACATCCCCAGTGACCCACCTCCTCCAGCCACCCCACCTGCCTGCGGTTACCACCCAGTTAATCCATATTACAACTCCATAATATCACCAACTCACTCTGAATCCTCTTGCATTGCCTCACATGAACTTTCTGGGGACACCTCGCATCTACACCATGACACATGGGTCTTTCTCAGGCAGGTGCTGAAGGGACTGGGTCATCCCAGGAAGATGCCGTGAGTTGCTAGGATCCCTGTTACTGTTTATTCAGTCCTCTGTGCAGGTTTGTGGGTGGTTGTGGTGTTAAACCAAAAATCTCTCGAGAGCAGGGAGCGCTCTCCTAAATAAGTCTGACTGTGCTTGGACTGGCATGGGCTGAAAATCTTTTCTGTCAGGAAAGCCAAGGGCCCCACATGTTCTGAATTGAGGGCCCCCTCTCCAGGAATTCCTCCAGTGACAAAGCCTCAGTTGAGGGTCCCTAGAGAAGAGAAGCCAGGTCAAGGAGAGATTGGTCAAGGCGAGGCTGTCCCTGTCCATCATGCTCCACCTACAGTTGTGCTCCTGTATCTAGAATGCAAACACGGGCCATGCCATTTATCCTGAACTAGAGAGAAGAAGCAAACCAGATGAGTCTCTCATCTGGAGTCAGAGTAGGGAGAGCTACTGACCAGAGGCCAGACCAGAACATCCTGGAAACATGGTCACATGTCCATATGGATGAGTTCATCTCACTTTGTCCTTATTGGTGACGTGATTGCTGAGGAAGCCTGAGCACAGGTAGATGTGTGCATGTTTCCCAGGGGTAACTCGCAGACGTCCATGCATGCGTGTTAAATACCTTTATTAGAGGGTATGTTAGCAGTGCACAGAACAGCTTTCATAAGAGGGTGAGTTTCTGGAAGAAGAGGCGCTAAGAGCTGTGGAAGGCTGGTCTTCAGCCATAGCCTGGTGAGGCAGGGCATGGCCTGGCGGAGGGCCTCTTGCTGGCTTGCTGTCCTCGTGTCAAGTTCTCACGTGGTGGAGGGAGAAGAGGGGCCAGCTCTCGGTACCTCTTCTCATGAGGGCCTCCCTCTCATGACCTCATCGAGACCTAATTACCTCCCAAAGGGCCCCGTCTCCGAACACCATTGGACTGGGGTCAGAGTTTCAATCTATGAATGTGGAGGACACAATTCAGTCCATAGGATTCTTCCTCAAAATTCATGTCCTTGCATGCAAAATACATGTATTCCACGCCAACAGTCCCCAAAGTCTCCACTCAAGCCAGCATCAACTCCAAAGTAAAGTCCAAAGTCTTCTAGGTCATCTCAATCAAATGCGGGTGGAGATGGGCTTGGTTCACCTTGAGGTGGGATTCCTCCACTTAGGAGCCTGGGAAGCTAGACAGTTACCTGCCTCCAACGCCCTGTGGGGCAGGCAGAGGAGAGGCACTCCAGTTCCTATGGGGAAGAAATGGGGCAGGAGCCGGAGGGGGTTGGATCCAGCGTGTCCAAAGCCCTAGCATGAATTCTGCTAAATGTTATTAAAGTTGGATGATAATTTCCTTTGGTTTGATTGTTCCCCAGGGCACTGGGTGGTGTGGCAGGTCTGGAGTCCCCACAGGGATCCTGTCCCATAGCTCTGTCCAGCACCCCATCCGAGGCTCTTCGGGGTCGTCTTGCTCTCTGAAGCTCTGGCAGAAGCTTTCTGGCTGTTGGAACCCAGGCTGTGGCCCTGGTGGCCTCTGATTTGCCTTTCGGTTGCTTTTCTCCCCCTTAGAGGATGGCCCACCCATGTCTGTAACTGAGCAGGTCCCTAGCATTCCCCTGTCTGTCCTGACGAGCCAGGTAGCTGGTCTGCAGCTTGCCTTCAGTACAAATGGGCAGGGCTTCTTCCTCCACACCCCATAAGCTCTTTGTGGGGCGACGGGCTGGCCGCCCTGGTGTTGTCAGCTTTGTGATTTGTGTAGGCTGAGAATTTTTCAAATCTTCAACTTCTGGTTTCTCTGTGCTTCACAACCCCCCTTTCAGCTCATCTCTCTCCTTTCACAGTTTACTCTAAGCCTCAGGAGGAAGCAAGCCAGTCCTCAGCACTTGGTTTAGAAATCTTCCAGCTAGATACCCAATGGCATCCCTCTCCCTCTCCCTCTCCCCCCCTCCCCCTCCCTTTCCCACAGGCCCTCCCCGCATAGAACACTGCGATAAATTTCAGTCAAGTTCTTTGCCACCTTAAAATGAGGACTGCTCTTCCCCTGTTTCCAATAACATGCTTTTAATTTTTGTCTGAGGATCGCCCTTAGCATTGATATGTCTAGTCTGCACTTTTAAGCCTTCACCTGTGACCCAGTTTCACAGTTGTGTTCACATTTTTAGGTATTTATCACAGCGGCCTTCCACTTCTCTGTTGCCAAAATCAATTTCTGTCTGCTCAGATGCTCATGACAAAATATTAAAGCTTCAACTATGGAAATTTATATGCTCCCTGTTCTGGAAGCTGGAATTCCCAAATCAAGACGTCAACATGGTTGTTTTCAACCATGGCTGGTGAGGCCCTTTTGGGGGGTGGTAGAAAACCACCCTCTCACCGTCTCCACATGACCAGCCAGGTCTCCCATGTCTCGGGAAGGCTGCACCCTCATGACAGCAGCTAAATCTAACCTTCTCCCCCCAACCCTGCCTCCAACACCATCAGGTCATGAGAGGTTGGATCTTCAACATATGAATTTTGGGGGTGCTCTGTTCAGTCCATAGCACCTGGGTAAGGCTGCTTGGGCCCCGAGCTTATGGAACCCTCTGGAAATCCCTCTGAAATGTGATTGCTTCTTGAATAATGAGATGGAAATCAACATTTATTGACATTCTTTTATATGCAAAAATCATCTTTGGGTTCTTTGCCTGTGTCACCCTGTTGACTGACTGAAGTTCTATATAATGGTACTTGATAATGACAAATGCTAGTGTCTCTCACAGACAGACATACAGCAAGCTCCACTCACCCTCCTAGCTGAAGGCCCATGGCTGCCTCATGGGATGAGGTCTGGGGAGGTCCCTAGAAGGTTCTCGAGGTACACCACAGACACGAATTTCAGGACATGTCCAAAGGCACAGGTCAAGATTCATTTAGGAAGCCAGACTTAGTCAGGAAGGCGAATAGGGAGTGTGTGTGCTCAGGGAGGGTCACAGTCTCTCACCAGTGAGACCCACCTCGGGGTCTTCCTCTTCTCCATGGTGAGCACAACAGGCACCAGGGCGGTGTCCACGGATGGGCTGGGTCCCTTTGACTGCGGAGCACAGAGCAGGGCACGGTGGCCTGGCTCCTTTTGACATCCCCAGGTTGACGCTGTCTAGTTAATGTGTACCACCTGGCCTGTCCCCGTCCCGGGGTCTTTCACAATCTCCGCCTCTGCTTTCCATCACTCTAAACGTACATTGGTGAATATTGCACAGTTGCATTCCTTTCCCTCCCTGCCCGCTGCGGCCTGCCGTCCTGTGTCCCCGTCCTGCCTCAGCCTGGCCTCCTGCCCGTGCCTGCTGGTCTGCAGCTCCTCACAGCTGCTCCTCCTCAGGCTCGAGCCAGAGCTGCTTTCCTGCTCTGAGGACCATCAGGAAATCTCCCCAAACCAGAAGGCTCTCTGGTGGTCCCCAGGCCTCTTTCAGGGAGGGGAGAAGCCCCCTGTTAGCCTTGGGTGCTTCAGAGGCTGGAGGGCGGCCCGCTGCCGAGGCCTGGGCTCTTCATGGGTGCTCTGTGAACACCTGCTTCCCACCACTCGGGGAAGAGGGTAGGGTCGTGGCCCCTCTGTGCTAACTGGAGTCTGTCCTCGGGATCTTATCACCACGCACACCCTGGGTGACCTCTCAGACGTGGTGGCATGGCATTTTGGAAGGAGTAACTGTCCTTCCCCTAAGTCACCTTTCCCTGGGCTCCTTGCTCCTTTCCTGTCTGTTCTGCAACATCTGGAGACACAGGACCTGCCTTCCCCTCCAGCTTTGGGCAGGACAATGATCCACGTAGGAGGGACAGAGAAGGGAGTCTGATTTGGGGGGTTGTTTTAGGGAAATAGAGTGTCTGGGACCCCAAAGGGAAGGACAGCTGGGCAGGAAGAGGCTCTACTGGCAGATGTCTGGGTGCTGGTGGGCTCTGGGGATGGGGAGAGGACAGTTGGTGCTGGGGAGGCCCGTGTTCCGCTTATTTCCCAGAGCAAAGGCTGTGGCACCCTCACCCTGCAGAGGTCCCCTTCCCATCGCTCTGGCTTGTGGTAGGAGATTGTCCCAGCTCTGGGCTGTCACCCCACCGTGGGAGAACCCCTCGTGCAGGAGTGAGGTGAGACACACCTGGGAGGTGTCCGGTTGAACAGTAGAGCGAGGTGGAGTTGGCTTTCCTTATGGGTGACTTGGTGTGACCTGGGGTGACCCTCTGGGAAGGAGACTCTGTGGAAATGGTGGCGAGGAACTGGGAGGACCTGACAGCTTTTCTGGCCACAGCCCAGCTCCTGGCAGGGGGAGAACGGGCCCTGGGAGTCTCATGGGGTCTTCATAATCACTCCCGAGAACTCACTGATCTCCCCCCGGGCTCCCTCCAGGACCAGGACGCTTTCTCTTTACTCGGGTGCTTTTTGTGTCCGCCTCAGAGGCACCTCTGGGCTCAGAGATCCGCAGCAGTTGCCTATCATGAGCAGATGCCGCTTGTTCTGTTTTGTTCGTTTGCTGCTGTTTGTGGCTCTGGGGGAGTGAGCCAAGGTGCTTCCCACAGAACGCCATCCCCAGCCCTTAAAATTAAAAAAAAAAATATATATATATGTATATATATATTTATTTAGACAGGGTCTCTCTAAGTTGCTTACGGCCTTGCTAAGTTGCCGAGGCTGGCTTTGAACTTGTAATCTTCCTGCCTCAGCCTCGGGATCTCTGGGATGACAGGCGTGAGCCACGGTGCCCAGCTTCACTTGGGCTGTAAAGAGCACCGGGCTGCTGGGATCCTCAACTCCACAAATGATAGCTGTCACACACTATTTTAAATACACTGATTTCCTCCTCAGGAAAATGTGGGGTTTGGGGTTCACCTGACTGAGACCTGGGGTTTGAGTGGAGAAGGAGGGGGCATATAACTTACGAAATGTTGAAAACCACTGAAGAATTTTCAGTGACTCTCTCTCACTGCCTGAGAACACTGCAGGGCTCTGGGGCTGGGATCAGATCCCATCTCTGTCACTCCACGGCTGGCTCCTGGCAGGGGCACAACTCAAGATGCTTAAGTGACGGGACTGAGTCCCCAACTCCAGGCTGGAGCCATGTTTTGGGCAAACCCAGAGAATAGCCTGAAAGCCATCTCCAAGGGGCTGGCAGCCCAAGGCTTGGGTAGACGTGACTGGCAGGCCATGCCTGAGCACCCAGCACCCTGGCCTTGTGCTGGGGGACCCGTGGGTGGCTCCTCCCTTCTGAACCTCAGAGCCCATTCCTTCCCTCGCTAGTAACTCTTCTCCAAATGCCTGCCTTGGCATATCAGGCTGAGGTCCAGTCTGCCCCTGTCTGGGTCCATCCCAGGGCTTCCTGACTCCCATATCTTGGGGGCCTATTTTGAGTTTGGGGTCCTATTGTTGTGTGTGAAAGTGGCTCAGGAGGATTTTCCCCCAGGAGAGCAGGCAGCAGGTATCAGCAAACTGACAGGGAGCAGAGAAAGGCACAGGTACGTGGAGGAGCAGGTAAGTGTAACTACGGAGAGGCCATTTCATAAAAATACTGCCTTCCTTATTTTTTTTTTAAAGTCACCTATTCTAAAGGTATTAACCTGGGTTTTTTTTAGGCACTGGATATTGAGCCCTAAGCGTGCACTTTGCCACTGCGTCACATATACAGCTTTACCCCGGACGTTCTTGACAGCTTCTTTGCCGGCTTCATGGTCCAATTGAAGAGATCAACTAGGCCAGGGCCAAAGGTATGTTCTTAGCTGGTGTCTGGTGCTATGGCTGGAATGTGGTTTGTGCCCTCCAGAATTTATGTTGAAATAATTTGATTTCTAGCTGACAGTGTTGCGGGGGGACCTTTAAGAAATGTGTTTGGGCCCTCAGTGCCGCTCTTGGAGGACTGGGCTAGTTCTGGAGGGGCCAGGTACGTTCTCGCCCTCGTGGGACTGGATTAGAGACTGCAGGGTGGGTGGGTTATAAAGTGAGCTGTCCCTCCTGTTCTGCCTCTTCTAACCTCTCCGCCATGATTTGACACAGCACATGGCCCTCACCAGAAGCAGCACAGATGCTTTATCCCCCGGCCTCCAGAACTGTGAGCTAAGTCAATCAATGTCTTCCCCTCTGTGTACCCAGTCTCAGGGGGTCAGTGGGTCTTTGTCCTTCTGGCGTTTGCAGCTGTTCCCGGCTGGGAAGCTGCACACTTAACAAGAGCCAATTATGCTTCCCCAAACCTGTTCCTGCAAATATATTTCCTGTGGTAATTACAGAATTAGGTAAATACTTCAGCACTGATGGAAAGTGAGCCCGAAAGTAATGGAGTTGCCATTTCTATGAAAATTAAGTCAAATGCTTGGGAGAGACTTAATAAAGGCAAATTGCTTAACAACTGCTGTCAAATTGAGTGCAGGCAAAGCAACGGTGAAATTTGGGGAATGATTATATAAATCTGGAAGGATTCTGGGCTCGGTTGCTTTTCAGTGTCTTTAAGTCCTTACTGCACTTGGAGTAAATAAAACAGATTTACTCCAAGTAGTAAGCAAGTGCCAAGGGACGGTCAAGTATTTATTCATATTTAAGCTAAAATATGGTGTGGCCAGCCGTGTCTTTATCATCTTTCTTTTTTTATTGTTTTTTTAGTTGTAGTTGGACACAATATCTTTATTCATTTGTTTTTATGTGGTGCTGAGGATTGAACCCAGGGCCTCACAGGTGCGAGGCAAGTGCTCTGCCACTGAACTACAGCCCCAGCCCCCTTTATCATCCTTTTATGGCCTGACACCGTCACCCTCTTTACCCTAATGTGGGCCATTGAATCTCAATCTTGTGGACTGAGGGGCTACTGTAGCTGGTGTTGCTCGATCATCTCAGGCATTTATTACTTTGGCCCCAAGTCCAGCCCTATAGTCTGAGCTCCGCCAGCCCGAGTTCTACTTGTTAACTACGCAGTGCATTTTGAGGCCAGCCATACTAGTCAGGGCTGGATGGACAGACAGACCAATAGGTTGTGTGCGTGTGGGTGGGTGGGGATGGATGTTGTCTATCATCTCTCTATCTAGTTATCTATCTAGATTTGCATGTTAATTTCATCTGAAAACTGCCTACACAGCTACATGTAGACTAGTGCTTATTCAACAGCTGTCTGCATGGCCTCTCGAAGTTGGCCCATAATGGTGACCGACATATGGCCGCTCAGCCTTGCCCACTCCTCTTCCCTTCCTTGCCGGCTCCTTCTCCTGCACACCACCCCCCGCCCGTGCCCTTGCTCTTGTGGCTTCCTTCTGCACGGACCTCCTGCCCCGTGCTCCCTGCTGGCCAGCAGCATCCCGCCCACTCTTCCCAGCCACCTGGGCCTTGTTTCCTTCATAAAACTTACCTGGCCCCAGAATGCTGGCTGGCCTTCTCAGATGACCTTATCTGTGTTTTACTAAAGAGACAGGTGATTTCCTAAGGAAAACTCGTGATTTAGATAATAGAATTGGGGATCCGAGGAAATCTTGCTATTCACCACGCTAATTTTACAAATGAGAAAACAGGGGTGTGAAGACTGGCTCGAGGTGACACAGTGACACAGATGCCCCCAGCTTACGGGCAGCAAACAGAGGCTGAGAATGCAGCTAATGCCCCCGACCTGCAGAACACAGCAGGTTGCCTGATCGCCTTAAATAGGACGGAAACGCACATGGTAGGGCAAAGCCATATGGTAAGACCTCCTTTGTGCCAGAGTGTTGAAGATGTCATGTAATTTGTTGAAGACTGCGCTGAAAGTGAGAAACCAATCAGTCATCAGGTACATTTCACACCATCATGAAGTAAAAAAAATCACAAGCTGAGCCACCTTTGGTCACAAGGGTCTGTCTGCGCAGGGTTCTTTTCTCTGCACAGTGCACAGAACAGGTGAGCACCCCTAGTTTTTTTTTGAAGATCAGATTTACTTTATTAAAAGGCCAAGGCTCTCTTTATCAAATATGTCCAGATTATCAAGAAATATATATGTGTGTGTGTATATATATAATATATATGTATTATATATATGTATATAAATTGGATAATAAATATATTAATTGGAGAGGATTTGGAAAAAACAGGACAGAATAAGAAGAAAATACATCAACATTTGTCTTGCAATTCAGAGGTAAGGATTTCCAGCATTTAGAATCATTTCCTTTAGATTGGGTTTAAGGAAGAAGGTGTGCAAGAGATCAGTACCAGGCGTAGAAAAGGTGCCTGGAGGAGGAGTGTTTCCTGACTGAGTGGAAATGAAGCATCCCACATGGGGTCTCAGACTCCCATCCCACCACCTCTCCACCTGAGAAATGCGAGGCTGGTGGGCAGAGCCTGGGCTTGAGCCCAGGGCCACAGAAAGGAAGTGCACATGGCAGGTCACGTGCCCAACACTGCAGAGACCAGCAGAGCAGGCAGAAACGTGGACAGAGCATCACAATGAGGTTGGAGGCAGCATGTAATTACACGCAACATTACGTGACATGGGTTTTATGGCTGCGATGGTGTATCATTTCTGTTATCAAATCAAAGCCACACAACAATGACCAGGGAAACGTTCTTTAAAGGTGATTGTTCATAAAGGGGGAATAATTGGAATTTCACAAACCGGTAATTACAAAAGCAGGAAAGGTTACTATGCTGGGTTTTATAACTGTAATCAAAAAACTACAGGGGGACTTTTAAAATGGGCCTCTAATTAACTCCATTAAAGGTGACTATCTGAGAGGAGAGAGAGATCAGCCAGAAAGCACACCTCGTGAGAAGCCAAAGGGACCTGAAGGCGGGTGTTGGCAAGTCGGGGCACTCTGGCACCCCAGTGCTTCTTTTCTCTGTCCTGCACTTATAGTGTGTGATTTGAGGACAGCATTCCATTGTTACTGTAATGATCATCTGCTCTGGCCTCTTATGACTATCGTGGTATTTTGCATCATTGGGCTACTCTGACGTAGCCACAAGACCCTGGCAGTCATTCCACTGTCTTATTTTTACTTCAGCCTGTCGGACCCATTTTTCCTGAACTTGATGGCTTCTACCATAGGGAATGGCTGCCTGTTGTCAGAGGGAGGCAGTCAGTTGATTGAAGGGAGAGGGGCCCTGGACCTGTGCTTGGGGTCTCCCCAGATGGCAGGGAACTTCAAATGCCCACCAGCTTCTGGGGACGGTAGAGAATAATTGGTCTTGTGGTGATCCCTGGGGCATCAGGTGTACGTTTTGGTGTCAGCGAGGGAGGCCTGGAGTGGCTCCTCATGTGGAGGACAGCAATGGCTTGTTCTTGGAGAAGTGCAGCAAGATGGCGGCCGTTGAACCATGTTGCCTGGGCCTTATGGTGGGAAAGTCACTCCCCTATTCTGGGTCTCAGTTTCCTCAACTGTAAAATGGCAGCATTGGATGAGATGACATCTCTGGCTCTTTCCTACTCTAAAATCTTGAGAAATATCCTCTGGTGTGGACGTGTCTTGGAAAGGGTGTGTGTGTGATTTGAGGACAGCATTCAGAGACAGAGACCACCACGGGGTCTGAGCCCCTCTCCTCGCGCTCCACACCAGGAGTGGGTGCCATTCACTTTCTGTCCCCGTTGTCCACGTGAGTCGATCCTCTTGCCCTGTCTTCTGGTCCTCCATGCTGCTTTCCCTTCAGGCTGCACCCTCCACTCCAGGTGTGGCTTCTGGCCTCTCTGCAGACAAGGCCTCATCCATCCGCTCCTGATTTGTTTCCCTCTTCCCCAAAGTGCAGAGGAGAACACTTTCCCAACCTCCCACCTTGCTGATAGATCCAGGTGCCTGAGTCCTGGCTGAATAGGATTGGGAAAGAAGGAAAGTGTTCCCTTTTTTAGTTCTAACTTATAAAAGTCAATGTCACCTTCCTGCTTTCTCTGCCCCTGCTGTGGGGAACTTGAAGCCACTTACTGCTGGGCAGGATCTGGCACTTCACCACACAGAGGCAGAAATATTAGTGAAAAACCCAAGAGGTCCTCTAAAAAAAATCCAGGGTAAGTCTTGGTTTGCTCTCCAAGCTCTGGGCGCTGCCCTTGAACCTGCACACAGGAGGGGATCCTGTGGAATGGCTTGAGCAGGAAAGAACCTACGTATAAATGATCCAGGACAACAGCGTGGCACTCCCCCAATAAGCCAAACACGGAATTCCCGTAAGATCCAGCAATTTCAATCCAAAGAAATGAAAACATTTCTCAAAAATGGATGTCCATTGGGACACTCTTCACAATATCCAAAAGGAGGGACAACCCAAATACTTATCAACAAATAAACAGATGAGCAAAACACCTGTGGCCATACAACAGAACACGATTCATCCAAAGAAAGGGATGAAGTCTTAATACCTGCTGCATCCTGAAGAACCAAGAAGACATACTAAGTTAAAGGAGCTGGACACCAGAGGCTTCACATGTGTAATTTCCTTACTATGAAATATGAAAACAGAAACGCAAGCACACTGATGTCTGCAGGGGTTGGAGGAGGGAACGTGGGGAGCAGTGGGGGCAGGGTTTCTATGTGGGCTGAGGGGCTAGATAGTGCGGGTGGGCACATGGGCCCTCAGATGTGCTTTTGCCATCGACCTGGACACTTTCCGTTGTCGGAGATGGTAAAAGTTATGTGTGTTTTACTGCAATAAAAATGAAGTAAAAATTAATCCACAAACATTTTGAGTCCAGGAGGAGAGAAAAATACCCAATAAAACTATAGACAAGGTAAGAAGGTTTCAAGGTCCAGGTGAAGAGAAGAGTAGCTCA